GTGAAATGAAGATGGGTTTACTTTTTAATTTATCCATGTTTGGCTAATTTATGAGTTTTGGGCTAATGTAAAATCTCATACCTTAAAGAAAATTATAGATGTTTTTAATATCTCCTTCTCTTAATTTAATGCATATAATGGCCATATATACAATTAATATCTACTGCGATATATTACCTCAATGGATGAATATTAGAAAAATAAGAGAATTGAAATAGAATGTTGGCATGCCTAGATAAATGATGTTACACTTTCTAGGTTATATGGATACATTAGAATTGTAGGAAGGTCTTAAACCTCCATTTTTAACTCTATATACTCAACAGAGATTTAGGAATAAATATGCTATATCCACATTAATATTTAAGAGCCTTAATTAGAAAAATGTTATTATTTTATAAGCATAAGCAAAAATTAATTTTATATATTGGATAAACCTTATATCTGTATTAGACAATACTAGTTTGATTATAATCTAGAATACTTCCTCATCAGATCGACACTCACTCTAACACTTTATTTCTTGATTGACCTGTATACCTGCAAATCTAGTGTGCATTTTATAACGAAGAAAATCTAAGCAAATTCAAAAGCTAACAGGCATAGTAGTAGCATATCCGCAAGTGCCCACCAAGTTCTACTGTTTGATTCCTCCTAAAATAATTTTTATGGCATTTTTATTTGATTCCATAAACTTCCATCATACAACATTTGGTATATTATAATATTGATTATTTTGGATATTCTAACTAGTTGATTTCATAATCTTATTAGATAAAAGTGTAGTTATTTCATTTTATATAATTTAATAAGAGTAATGATTTTAACATTCTAATCTGATTCTCTTATTATTTGAAACATAGTTAATGAATATTGTTAAGTTTTAAGGTGATAACTGGTTACTACTACTTTTATAACATTAAATAGTAATGTGTGTGAGAAAAAGTAAAGTTGGTTAAGCACTAACATTGGTTCGATGATTAAGTTGTACATGATAGTGGGCCTATGAGTTTTCCTTTAAATACTATAGTTTGGTGCTTTCCTCCACATTCACGTGATTCACTAATTGAGAGTTATAACAAGTTAACTATAATGCTGATGGGCAAAGAGTGACATATTTTCTCATTAAGTTAATGATTACTAATTTATCGGTTTACTGATTACTAGAAAAATATCGCAACATTTAGAACATCTTACTTATTTAGTGTGATTATTGAAATGCATTCATTATATACATTTACCATCACTATATTAATTTAATATTAACATATTGTTTTATTATTACTGGTACAAAGTTTTCAAATACTAATATTGTTAGTAATTTACTATCAGTGTTAGTAATATTGATCACTATTTAATGATTAACTATTGAAAGTTCGAGTAGGTTATTAGACCTTATTGAACCATCTCAAGACTAACTAAGAGGGGAGTGAATTGGTAATTTTAAATTTTTTTGGATATTTTAAAATAATTTTTAGAAAGTTTAAATAATAATCCTAAAATATGTAGTTGTATAATAAACTAATTATCACAATAAATTTTGTAATCCTAAAATTTTAAAGCATAAAAAAAAAAATGAAAAAGCAAGTGAATAGAAAAACACCAAATTTATAGTGGTTCAGTTCAAACTGAACCTATTTCCACTCCTTGGAGACTCCTCCACGTATTACATTAAATCAAAGTGACTCTCCTTTTACCCCCATAGCAAGGTGGAGAAGCCCTTACAATCTCTCTCCACCAACCCAGTGTAGCAGAGTATTGACATCCTTTCTCATCCTCTAAATAATGGCAGAAAACCTTCATCCTTTCTAACCCTCCTGGTGATGGCAGAGTACTGACATCGTTTCTCACCCTCCTAGTGATGGCAAGGAATCATCATCTTTTCTCACCCTCTTACTAATGGCAGAGTATCATGACACAATACTAAAGATCTTCTCTCAAAAGTCTCCATAGGAGATGGGCAAAAATTTGAAGAAGAAAAAGAGATCATCGCATTAGGCAACCTTGTGAATCCCTTACAACTCACGCTCACTTGATCTATTACTCTTCACTCTTATAATCTCTCCCAAACACTCACACTCAATGGCTATTCTCAAGAGAAAATTGTAGCAAAGATATTGAGTGTCAGTTTTTAGGACTCTTATATATCAAACACAAAAAACCATCCAAAAAAATTAAAAATTACAAGTCAACTTACTTAAGATAATATAGTACGATCGAGGATCATCTATTCGAAAAATTTAAAAATCCATATACATTCCTGTACAAACCTTATTTCATACTCTATTAGTCGTATGTACGAACTGACATCATACTATATGAATAGTTCAAAATTGAACCTATTCATCTGGTACGATCCTATATGAACTTTATTTTGTACTCTATCAGTCGTCTATACAAACTAACATCATATAGTATAAATAATTAATAACCATGCTTTTTTTGGAATGAACGTAGATGACCTCATTTTGTACTCTATTAATCGGCTATATGAAATTACATCGTATAGTATGAATATTACAAAAATGAATGTTTTTACTTGGGATAAACTAGTACGCACCCATTTCATACTCTATAAGTCATATGTACGAACAAACTTAATACAATAGGAACAATTTAAAAATTACAAGACATGATATGATTAACTTTATTTTGGAGGAAAGAACATGACAAATTCTCCAGTACGATTGGAATTTATACAGTATGATTAGTCTTAAAATTTTAAGAATTGACTCACTCCCCCTATGTGTATTTGCACGATTACCCAATTACAAACAAACTCTCTCAGACTTAAGTAAAATAAAAAATTTACAGACTTCATTACATGAAACCATAATCTACTCTGTCTTGAAGTCTTCAGCAATCTGGAGTATAATTTCTATGAAATATTAGTACACATAAATAATAAATAGAAAATATCCAGAACATGCTAGGAGAAATGATAAAAAATAGAATAATAATACTTGAAGCTTTTTTCAACGTCTCTCTGGCGACTCTGAGGCAATTTTTCTAGGGCTTGCTGGTTTCTGCGTTTCTGGCTCTCAAGGTTGGTTTTCTCGGGTGATTTCATCCTTAAGCTTTAGTTTTGTTCGTTTGTCTGCCTCTTCTCTCTTGTGGGGGTTTTTTTTTCATGAGTTTTTGGTATGGGATGATGACGGTTCCGTCATCATCGCATCCTTTAAAGTCAGGAATGGATGGTAAATCTCGTTCCTTCAAAGAAGCCCTTGCTGGGGGTTCCCTTTCTATTCCGAAGCTGACTTTCGTTCATGCTTCGTATAAAGGAGCTCCGGCTTTACTTTTCGAGGAAACTGTTGTTGATCAACTTGCTGCTCCTTTTACCTTTACTTTAGTTTTAAGGAGGCCTAATCTTGACATGATTCATAAGTTTTTTTTTTAACCTTAAGCTTTCAGGTTCCTTTCATGTTGAATTACTTGATCAAAGACACATTGCTATTCAACTCTCGAATGATCTAGACTACAGTCGTATTTTCTCACGTAGAGCGTATTACATTCAAGGTTGTCAAATGAGATTGCTGAAATTGACTCCGGATTTTGATGTGAGGGAGGAATCACAGATAGCTCTAGTTTGGTTAGCTTTTCCTAACTTGAGACTTCATTTTTTTAACCAACAAATTTTATTTGGTTTAGCTTCAATTTTTGGCCATCCGCTTCAAACGGATCAAGCCACCGCGTCGATCTCTCGGCCTTCGGTGGCAAGGGTGTTAGTTGAACTTGATGTTTCTAAAAAATATCCTAATGAAATCTGGTTAGGTTCTGAGGTAAAAGGTTATTTTCAAAAAGTTGAAATAGAAAATTTGCCTATATTTTATTCTTTCTGTAAGATGCACGGTCATGCTGCCAGTGAATGTTTTAAAAAATTTCCTAATTTACGTGTTCCTAAGAAATCTAATACTCAAGCTGATGAGGTGTGTGCCGAAAAGGGTAAGGAAATTCTGCTGGAGCATACTGAAAATCTTTCATGTCATGCGCAAGATGAAGTGGGACCGTCTGAGGTTTTAAATCATAATTGTATTAATCAGGATAATTTTAAACAAAATGGTGAAGATATGGATTCTTTTAAGGTTATGGAGAATGTTAATAATAATTCTGCTGTGAATGGGACAGATAATATGGTTATTTCTAATGCTTGTAATGGTGTGATTCCTGTTACTAATGCTGAAATTAGTATGACTATGATTGTTGAACAGGAAAACATTGCTTTATACGTCCATCTGATTGGAGAAGGAGCTGACAATAATAGTGTTTCTTGTGAGGAAGGAGAAATTAGTCCCATTATCCATCCGTTGGCTAATTCTGCTACTTCGAAAGGAACAAGATTTCAGGGTAATGATAATATGAGTGATGATGGTAAGTTCATGGAAGATGATGGCTCTACTTTAAATTTGGAGGGTAAGTCTCCTACTCATTCTCATTATACTAGCGATGCTTTTACTGATTATGAAGATATGGATATTAATGCAAAATGTCATGTTATGTTCGACAATGATAAGAGTTTTAGTAAAGTTCATAGTAAAAAAAGTAAGAAGGTCAAGAATGTTGTTGTGCAGCCTGCTAGGAACACTAGGTCTAATACTTCGCATTAATTGTTATTTATGTTAAACACGACCATTTGGAATATTAGGGGTATTGGTTTCCCTTCATCTCGTAACCGTGTTAAGAATTTATGTTGTATTCACAATATTAATATGCTTATTTTGCTTGAGCCTCTCATTGATTCTTCCAATCTACTTAAAACTTGTCGGTTTTTGGGATTTCATAATGCTATTTCTAATATATCCAACAAAATTTGGATTTTTTGGCATAATCCGATTGTCCTTGATGTTATTGGGGATCATGTTCAAATTCTACATTGTAAAATTGAGATGTACAATGTTCAATGCTTTGCTTCTTTTATTTATGCTGCTTCATCTCTCTACAATAGAAAAGCTTTATGGGATTCTCTCATTGATTTTCATAGCTTATGTAATCTCCCTTGGCTTATGGGTGGAGATTTTAATGCGATTTCCTGTTCTACAGAAAGAATGGGTGGTTCTAGCCCTTCTCTTCGTTCTATGGACGATTTTAATAACATGATTTCAACTTGTAATTTGATTGACATTGGTTTTGTTGGTGATAGTTTTACTTGGAATAGGGGACATTTGTGGCAAAGACTCGATCGTGTGCTTTTTAATGATGCTTGGATTAGTCTTTTTAATGCCACTAATGTTCAACATCTTTCTAGGACTTTATCGGATCACTCTCCCTTATTAATTACTATTAAGCGTTCCTCTTATAATGCTCCTCCTAAATTTAGATTTCAAAATATGTGCTTGCTTAATAATTCTTTTTTGAACACGGTTAATAATAATTGGATTGCTCCCCTTCATCCTGATAATGGCGTGAGAGGTATGGTGAGGTTTTGGTATAAACTTAAAAGATTAAAACAAGTTCTAAACTGGTGGAATAGGAATGTCTTTAAGAATATCTTCTCGAATATTCTTCAAGATGAGAATCTTGTTAATTTAACTGAATCCTCTTATAGATCTGATCCCTCTGTGGTTAACTTAGACCTTCTTAATAAATGCAAAGTTGATTTGATTAATTATCATAATCAGGAAGAAGTGTATTGGAAGCAAAAAGCGGCTGCGAAACATTTGGGTGAGGGGGATAGGAACACCAAGTACTTTCATGCTATTGTTAATCGTAAACGTATTAAAAATTCCACCATTAAAATTCAAAAGAAGGATGGTCTTTTTACTGACAATATTATGGAGGTGAAAGATTTAGCTATTGAGCATTTTCAAAATTTGTTTAACAAGAACTTTTCTTCTATCATTGATATGGAGTTATCTTTCATTCATAATATTGTTTCTGCTGAGGATAATAATTTTCTTCCATGTCCGCCATCATTGGAGGAAGTTAAGAAAGTTATGATGGAGAGGAATAGTGACTCGGTGGCGGGTCCTGATGGTTTTACCACTCTGTTTTTTCAAAAAGCTTGGAACATTATTGGTGGTGATATGTTTAATGCGGTTTTGGATTTTTTTGATGGTTCTCCTATGCCTTGATTTTTTTCTGCTACTTCTTTAGTTCTTATTCCTAAAAATAATTCTACCAAGACATGGAATGACTTCCGGCCGATTAGCCTTTGCACTTGTTTTAATAAATTGGTTTCTAAAATTATTGCTAACCGTCTTTCTGTGGTTTTACCTAGCATTATCTCTCCTTATCAGATGGCTTTTGTGAAAGGGAGAGCTATCACTGATAATATTTTGTTGGCTCAAGAGCTTATGCATGATTTGGATGTGAAAGCTAGGGGGGTAATTTAATTATCAAGTTAGATATTGCTAAAGCCTATGATAACATTGATTGGAATTTTATTTATTTAGCCCTTGAGTTGTTTGGTTTTAATTCTGCTTTTATTTCCATCATTAAAAATTGTATTAACAACGTCTATTTTTCCCTTATTATTAATAGTTCTAATCATGATTTCTTTAAGTCCTCTAATGGTTTGAGACAAGGGGATCCGATCTCGCCTGCCCTTTTTATTATTACCGCTGATATTTTGTCTAGGGGCTTCTCTAATTTGTTTCAGAGACATCCGGATCTTTATTTCAAATTGGTAGGGGGTTTGCCTATTTCTCATTTATGCTTTGCGGATGACTTTATAATTTTTACTAATGCTACCATCAATCGTATTAAGAGAATTAATGATTTCTTAAACAGGTTTGCGAACATGAGTGGTCTTTCTTTTAGTAAGAATAAGAGCTATTTTATTACTTCTAATAAAATTTCTAATGAGCGTATTTTAGCTATTCATAATGCTACTGGTTTTGTCCATTCTACTTTACCGATCAAGTATCTTGGGGTTCCTCTTTTTAAAGGGAGGAAGACAACTTTTTTGTTTAATGATCTTATTGCCAGTGTTCAGAATAAGTTGCATTCTTGGGGTTCTAATTTCCTTAGTTTTGGTGGCAAACTTACCATTATTAAAAGTGTTCTTTGTGCTCTTCCTGTTTATAGTTTTCAAACTATTGCCCCGACTAATACTGTTTGCAAGAGAATTCATAATTTGTTAAATAATTTTTTATGGCGTGGCATTACTTCCACCCCTAAGATCAATTGGGCTAAATGGGTTTTTTGTTGTGGTGTGAAGGAGGAAGGTGGCCTTGGTTGTAAGAATCTTTGGGATCTTGCTAAGGCTTTCTCTTTTAAGCTTTGGTTTAAATTTTTGTCTAAAGATTCCCTTTGGTCTCTTTTCATGCATGCTAAGTATGGGAACGGTATTCACCCTTCGAACATTTGCTCCAAGAATGGTATTTCTAAAGTTTGGAGAAGGATGTGTAAGATTAAGTGGGAGGTGCTCCCCCTTTTTTCTTGGGGCTTGGGGATTGGCAATTTATTCTTTTGGCAAGATAAATGGCTTGGTAATGAGTCTATTGATAATATCTTAAATACTTCTTCGATGTCCACGCTTAAAGTGAATGCATTTTTTAATAATAACTGTTGGGATAGTAATAAGATTTCTAATGAGGTTCCGGATTGTATTAAAGATAGGATTCTTAAAGTGCTTATTAATATCCAGTCTAAGGATGTTATTATATTTAATGTGGCTAAGGATGGTAAATTCTCTCTTAAAAATGCTTGGAATGCTTTTAGAAGTAAAAGTGATTATGATTCTCTTTACTCTAAGATTTGGAATAATAACATTCCCACTACTATTTCTATTTTCGTTTGGAGAGCCTTACATAGATTTCTTCCTACGGACAATAACTTGATTCATAAGGGGTTTAATTTTGCTTCAAAATGTCAATGTTGTTATCATTCTGAGAACATTCATCATGTGTTGATTTCTGGGCCTGTTGCTGCTAAAACCTAGGTTTATTTTGATGACTTATTTAATTTATGTATTAACTTTCATCTTTCCCTTAAAATGTTTTTGAAAGGTTGGATGGTCAACCTGAAAGGCCATATTCGTAATGTGATTCCTTGTCTTATTTTATGGTTCCTTTGGTTGGAGAGAAACAATTCCATTTTTAATGGTATCCGGATGGATCATTTGAATGTTATTCAGAAAGTAAATGATAAGGTGCTAGGCCTGATGGCGGTTAATTTGCTCTATGTTAAGAATTTTAAGAATTATCTTTATGTTTTTGAAGGTTTTGGTGGCTCTCTGAATGCTTCGATCCCTATGGTTCGTTCTTTCAAGTGGATCAAACCTCCCCAGAATTACTACAAGCTCAATATTGATGTTTGCATTAACGGAATTAAAGGTGGTTTTGGTGGGGTTATTAGAAATAGTAATGGCTTTTTTGTGGCTGGTTTTGCTGGGCCTTTGGATAATTTTGAGTACTTCCCTGCTATGCTTAAAGCTCTGATTTATGGCTGTCATTTTTGCTCTAACCTTAATATTGGGAATTTGATTATTGAGGTGATTTCTTCTTTTGATTTCTCGTTCATTGTGGAGGAGAAGGATGTTATTTGTAGTGCTAATTGTTTTTACCTCATCAGGGAGATTAAAAACTGTCTTGCGGGTTTAAATTATTTATTTTTTAGTTTGTTAAATGGGGGTAATCTTTGTTCTGTTTGGCTTGCCCAGTTTGGCTGTAATCTCATGGATATCCAGGATTTCACTAAAACTAACTGTCCTAAGAGGTTGTTGGGGTTTCTAAAACTTGAGGAGCTGGAGGTGCCTTATGTTTGTAGTTAAGTTTGGCTGGTGGTGTGGGCTTTTGGTGTCTCTGGCTCGTTTTGTGTTTAATGGGGGTAATCTTTGTTCTGTTTGGCTTGCCCAGTTTGGCTGTAATCTCATGGATATCCAGGATTTCACTAAAACTAACTGTCCTAAGAGGTTGTTGGGGTTTCTAAAACTTGAGGAGCTGGAGGTGCCTTATGTTTGTAGTTAAGTTTGGCTGGTGGTGTGGGCTTTTGGTGTCTCTGGCTCGTTCTGTGTTTCTCTTCTTGTGTTTTGCTTTGGTTGGGTGGTTCGTCTGGGTTGCTTATCTGGTTTTGCTTCATTTGCGTGACTTAGTGTTGAGGTTTTTGGTGTTTAATTATACTTTTGGTTGTTGGGTGTTAATGATTGTTGGTCGTGTCTTTTACTGCTTGGTTTCTTTGGGGTTGAAGGTTGCTGGTGGGTGTGGTATTTTTTTGGTGATGGATTGTTGGGTCTTTTCTTTTGGGGTTGTCTGCTGTTTAGTTGAGAGTGGGGGGGGGGGGGGGGGGGGGGAACTAGATAGGGGACAAGAGAATAAATACTATGACTGATTTTGTGAGGAGAGCTTCTAAAATATTTTCCCATTGCTTAATTACCATAGAATAATTGCTGTTATGATTTTAGCCTTTTTAATTAAAAAAATAATGGGCCAATGCCCACAGGCCCCCACTATAGTTCCACTCCTGAGAATAGGTGCATTGTTGTACAAAGATAGCCACACTCTTGAGTAAAAAAAGGTTGAAGCTAGTTATTTATGCCATAAAACAAAGTGGGGGCTAAGCAAACCAAATATAGTTGATTGGCATGATAAAAAAATCATTATTATACAAATAACAACTTGATTGGCTAAAATTATTCAATTATGGGATATGAGAGGCCAGAAGTAAACTCCTTACCAACTTGATTGACATGACAAGGAGAATGCTCAAGGAGCAAAGATTTGAAAGGAAATCGAACTTCACAAATGGATAAGAGAGTTGGTCCATAATGCTGAATAATACATTAGATAGATAACAATCATCTTTATAGCATGCTGGATTTGAAGATCATTATGAATGAAAGTAGGTGTTCAAGATAGAAAATACAATTACAAATATTGACAAATAATATGAATTTCTTATACCAACGCAGCTACATTTTTTATACTAAGGAGCATTGATTAGTATACATTCATGTTGATGAACATTATCAGATTATGAGGTACTTAATCTTAACTTCTTATATATGTTATTATTATGAGATACTCTGGGTCTATTTAAGATAGCTTTAGGCTATATTTTAAGTAATAATTATTATAAAAAAAAGACGTCTTTTAGGATATTTTATTTTTTAGACAACAATCATAACTTTTTTCGCTACTATCTCATTATTTGTCAAAAGTTTATGCGATGGAAAGTTGCTTTCTATAACTACAGTAGCGAAGTCACTTCCTTCACAGCAACTTCACAACCAATTTTATAAAATGAGATAATCGTCCCAAAAAGACCGTTAGGCTTACTGCTTCTTAAAAAAGTTTTATAGTACAAAAAAAATTAATTTTTGTACTAAAAAATTGCTTTAAGAATCAATAAGAAAATCGTTCCAAATGAAACCTTAGTCTTGATTTTATTATATATATAAATGATCTATAAGTTGGAGTATCGACTTTTCCATATAATGATCAATGTAGTACTATAACCATTGAAGTGGAGATTAGCATATCCAATACACAGATGCCCACGGGTACATTAATGCAAACTACCTAGCAAATTTATGGGAGAACAATACAAAAAGACCAAAAGAGCACATAAATATAGTCAATGCGGGCTTTGAGGCCATTACCCTCTCAATCAAACTTGTCCACAAATGCTTGATATTGAGCAAACTTCATCCTACTCTAAACTTTTATATGTTGAATATGGATTTAGAGCCAAAGTCCCCAATTCAGAAGGAGCATAACTGTAGAAACAGAGAAGAATATGGATCTTGAACAGAAAAAGATAAGAGAATAGAGAAGTTTATTATTTCTGTCATAAACCTGTGCAATAGAGATACATGTCTTTATATAGAAGTAGGTAGAAGGATTACAGGTATTGCAGCCAATAATAAGCTTCCACCTATTCCTATCGTAAAGAGTAATAAGTAACAGATTCTATGGCTGAGATTTGTTAGCTTGCTTTAATACGCCCCCGCAAATTGATGGGTCTTGGATGACCGTCAATTTGAGTCGTAGTTGATGGAAACGAGGTGTAGACAAAGATTTGATCAAGATATCTGCTACTTGGTCTATTGTACTAATTGGATGAAGTCTGATGTTGTTCTGTTGGATGTGATCCCTTAAGAATTTTTGATCAATCTCAATGTGTTTCGTGC